CTTGCTGTCCCTTGTGTTCCTTTGCTTTGCCTTGCTTTGCCCGTGCTTTTGCTTGCTTTGCCTTGCTCTCCCTTGTTTTCCATTGCTTTTGCTTGCCTTCCCATGCTTCCCTTTGATTGTCCTTGCTTTCCCATTCCTTTGCTTTCCCTTGCTGTCCCTTTTTTTCCCTTGGTTTCCCTTGCTTTCCCTTGCTGTCCCTTGCGGTCCTTTGCTTTCCTTTGCTTGTCCTTGCTTTCCTTTGCGTTGCCTTGCTTTCCATTGCTTTCCCTTTCCCTTGCTTTCCCCTGATTTCCCTTGCAGTCCCTTGCTTGCTGTCCCTTGCTTTCCTTTGCTTTGCCTTGCTTTGCCTGTGCTTTCGCTTGCTTTGCCTTGCTGTCCCTTGCTTTCCCTTGTGTTTCCCTTGCTTTCCCTTGCTTTTTTGCTGCTGTCCCTTGCTGTCCCTTGCTTTCCTTTGCTTTGACTTGTTTTGCCCGTGCTGTTGCTTGCTTTCCCTTGCTGTCCATTGCTGTCCCTTGCTTTGCCTTGCTTTCCCTTGCCTGGCTTGCTTTCCCCTACTTTCGCTTCCTTTGCCCTTGCTTTCCTTGGTTTGCCTTGCTTTGCCTTGCTGTCCCTTGCCAGCTTGACCCAAGTCAGAGCAAACCAACAACTGCACAACCCTCCTGCACTGAATCACATACAAGCAACAACCCAAACCAGCGCCCGTACTTGCACACCCCGTGTCGTCTCCCTGGGACCTGCAAACCAGCCTTGCGGTGGCAGAAAGTGCTCCAAAAAATACTCCCAAACAATGGGAGTATTTTTCCTGCGACATCCCCAGCATCGCCGACCACCACAAAAACTTCCAAAACAAGCGACATCCCCTGCATCCCCGGCATCCCCTGCATCCCCGGCACCCCTTGTGCGCCCAAGTCCGGCGAGGCCGGAAGCAAAGTAAAATGACGTAAAACTGGCACGCTTTTTGGCCCGCGAGAGCCACAGACGAAAAGGTCAGACATGATAGGCAGCGTCGACGAAAAAGCGCGAAATACACAGGGAAAACCACCAAAAACCAGCCTTGCGGTGGCAGAAAGTGCTCCAAAAAATACTCCCATTTTTGGGAGTATGTTTCAGCTGACCAGACCTGAAATCTCCCGGAACGAGGTTACCCCCCCCCCCCCCCCACAACTTCGTACACTAACTCCCAGCGATTCAAGAAGCGCTTTCCGTCATCGGTTGAATCTGGCTGACCTGCAAATGGGTGCGACTTCCTCTTCCGCCAAACCGGGCAAGTGACGTCACTTGCCAGGTTTGGCATGGCTCCTGCCGCTAGGCGAAGGGTTGCGTCGAGCTTGTTCAAGATCTTCATGGTGAACCATTACAAAAGGTGCTCTTTTTCTTCCAGGCAAATTAGGGTTATTGTGCAACTGCAAGCTAGCTATTGGGGTTTTGCACCCCTCCCCCTCCCACATGAAGGATTCTGAAGGACCCCTCCCCCTACCCATGAAAGAATCGAAAGGCACCTTAGTCTGAATGGGCCATGTTCCGAGAAGCCTTCTGGAACGTAGAAGTCTCATGTCCATTCTCAGCAAACGCAGAGCTAAGTACTGATTGCCACTCAGCTTGCGGGCCCCTAAATGCCCCCTCGCACCACAATGAGCTTGCTTTTCTTGCAAACAGTGGACTCCAGTTCCGCCAATAAATGTTGGTCTTGTTTCAGACCTTTGGCATCTTTGTTGCTTGTTGTTTGAATTTCTCGAGGTTTACGGAATATTGACCATACTCAAAGCATGTTTCTTCGGGGGCAGGGGTAGATCAAATCACAAGGGGAGATAGGACGGCTGGTTGAGTTTCCAACTGTTTCTCTGGACCGGGGACACATTTCTACCCTGCCAGGGTCTTTTAAAACAACTTTTGGGGCAACCCTTCGGGGTGGGCATTGCCAGCCATAGATGCAGGTAGGCACCTTTGCATTTTCCCACGGCTACGTTTCCATGATTTTCTGGGCTTCGGGATCTCAAGGCACTGAACATGTAGCTCAAAAACGGTCATCCTGAAGTTCCCTCTGTGTGGTTTTTGGGGATGCCGTGATTCTGTACGCGTCTTTGGGTCGCTGGCCAAGAAGCACATCCGCAGGCCTGGGCCCCTACCTACTTTTGTCGGCCAGAGGTGCATTTACCCTTGGCAACTTTGCAATCATTCTTCTTTTTTCTTGAAAGAACCCCCCCCCAAAGAAGGTATAAGGCGAATAAGGCCGGGGGCGCAAATGCAGAACTGGGTTCCCAGGCCCCTTGGGTCCCCCGTTCGAGTTTGCCAGGCGCTGGCCAGCTGGCGCTGGGCGTGCCAGGCGCTGGCCAGCTGGCGACGCGAGCGATTTGTCGAATCGACCTGGAAGTCCCAGTTGCCCAGTTTTGGTCAAGGCCCCAAAAGGCGATCACGTGTTTTATGGGGCAACTGAGACGCGGCTTCTCAACTTTCAGCATTTTTCAGTCTTCGCTGGAGGTGATGTGTTTGGTGGTGGCTGAGCTGCCAAAATAAGCGGAGACTCTTGACTCTTGGAATCACATACTTGATGGTTCTTTGCTGGCGCTGGAAGAAGTTGCATGTCCGCCTTTAGCTTGCGGTGGCTTTTGGGGGAGCATGGGTTGTTCTTCGTGCGTCCCCTGAAAGTGGTTCCTCGAATGATTCACATACCCAAGGCGAATCAACTTGTTTCCCTTCCGTTTCTTCTCATTTGGTTTACTTTAAGTCAACAGGACTTGTCTCTTGAGGTATCTATAGCTCTTTGCTTTCCTGCGGCTAGCTTCAAATTGGTGCAGTGCAGATCCGTGCGCCGTGCGCTGGCCAGAGCGTTCCAATGCGCCCATCGTGGGAGCCCTGCTGGACCAGAGGACTTTTGGATCGCTTCAGCTTGAGCTGATTGGTCCATTTGGTTTCTTCCCCCTCACGTGGTTTTTTTTTTTTCGGGTTTCAGGTTCACGGTCAGAATCTGAAAAGCAAAGCAACAAACGAGGAAAGGCTGTGGGTGAATTTGATGCTACTTCAGGATGAGGATGGTGGTTGGCGATGCTATTGGCAATGTAAATGGGGCTCGAGATGGATTCTGGCAGCTTGGAGCTGTCTCGGCCCGCCTCAAAAAAGGGTTGCGGCAAGGGCGCGTGAGGGGTCATCTATTGAAGGGGGGGAGGGCGCCCGGAGATTTGCATTGGAGGTCATGAGCGTTTGAGAAGGTCCAAGATCTGCCAAAAAGGCAATATGCATATCCATAGTCAATTGGGGCAAACAAGTTCTAAAACTTGATGCGAGTCTTTGTCTTTGGCTCTGGGTAGTAACATGGGGCCTAAAAAAAGCGGGGGTCCTCGGATAATCCTTCTGCCAGCGCGACTCAACTCGCAGGAGTTTGAGCTTTGAGGATGAGCAGAGGATCAAGGCTAGGCCGAGCAAGTGAGACGGCTCGGCACTGGGCTCCCTGTCCACAGGTAGGTCCACATGAGCATAGGTGTCCTTTGAGATTCTTGTTTGGGGGGTTTTGTTTAAAGGAAACATAGGGACAGAACCCACTTTGTTTTTCCTTTGAGACAAAGATACATGGTTGCGGTTCCATTGCAATAACTTCCAAAGGCCCTGGAAGCTTTCTGAGAGAGATGTTTTTGTCCAAGTCCTGTTGCAGATGGCAAACTCCCCAGGAGTAACATAAGCTTGCCATGAATCTGAAGGGCCTTGTTGTGGGGTCTTCTTATTTTGAGGACTGGACTGCATTTCATTCTTGCGTGTCGAAATGCGCAGACTTCCATGATAGCTCGTGCAGACGGAGGCTTGGCTCATTTAGGGCTCCGTTGCGTGAAAATTGAAAAGGACCCCTAGGTGTTGCGGCGTCCAATGTCGACCCCTGATTAATGAACCCCCAAGTGATGAATCAGGGGGCTTTTCCTGGAAGAAACGATTCCCCACTAAAAACGACCCCTTTGAGTGGTTTATTCACAGGGTTGGCATCATTGTGGTTGAAGCAATTGGAAGCTCGAAGCGATCCCTTGGCTCATTTGCTATCAAGGGGGCGTAGTTTCAGAACTGGAGGTGAGTTTTGGATCGTCTTGGGAGGGGCGCCTTTGCCCGACGTCTGCTCTTGAATTCCCAGGCAGCCCACAGAGCCCATCAGAGTTCTTGTTGCCATCCGTGAGACCCAAGAGGTGGGCTCCCTTTGGTAACCTACCCCTCCTAGATGTGCGGGGCCCTTATAGATCTTATGTGGGGTCCCTTCCCATGTCCCAGCTCGTGCAAAAAGAACCTCGCCATTTTGTTGTGCAAAAAAAACATCGCCATTTTTTTGGTAGCCGGTTTTCTCGCATGCCTTGGTCACCTACGAGTGAGGCCTGGCAAGTCCTGGTTCATGCGGTGAACACGAAGGGCGGGCTGCGCGCGGCAGCCCGGTGGGGTTTCGATGGAGCTTCGAGCTCCAGGTCTGGTCGCCAACCCCGGAGTTTCAGCAGCTGGATGTTCTTAGCCTCGGCGGGCAAGGAGGTGTTTGTTTTGCGTTCGGGTTTGCAACAGTTTGTTGGTTCTGCTCATTTTTACTGAGGGGCTGCAAAACACAAAGTTGTTTGCTACCATGCCAAGAGTCGTAGAATTTCATCGGGCGGTCCCCTGCAAGTGGGGCCCGGTTGATGTGGTTTGGAGGGACAACTCAGCCCTATTAATGCGATGGGTCTATTCATCCGGGATCAACATGAGTTGTCTTCAGGTACCCTTGATTGCTGGTTTGGATTGACGAGAACCAGGAAATGGTTTGAACCCTTGGTTCTTCCGGGTAAATGGACCATCGGTTTGCTCCAAACCACTGAACCAATCAGAGGGGTTAATTGGTGTTGGCTAACCCTCCATGAAACCAACAGCCCACTTTGTCGGCTTTGCAGTGGGCAACAGCAAGAGTCTTGCAAAGGACTGTTGCTTTGTAGTTCTGGGGCTGATCCATTTGGGAGCTCTTTGTGCAAATTTCCCGGCCGCCGGCGTTTTTCCATGTCCCACTCAGCCGCCGGTTTTCGCGCGCGCGCGGTCTCGCGCGCGGGCGGCTGGCCGGCGGAGTCGCCATGGAGCTGGAAGAAGTGCTGCAGCAGCTGAGCGGCCCCTGGGCGTGGCCGGAGCCATGGCGAACGAGCGGGGGATTGTGGGCGGCCGAAGAAGAGGCGACCGGCGACCTCATGAAAACGCGACAAAAACGTGTGCATCCACTTGAGAAGTGGTGCTCCTTCAATGGGTTGACGACGCTAAAAGTGGTTGACCGTCATGGGTTCCTTTTCAAGATGTCGCAAGCTCATGTGCACACTAGGGGCACGGACGGGTCTTTGAATTCTGCGGGTCGTGTTTCTCCTGAACAAGCTAGTTGACCCTTACTCTTGGGGGGGGGCTTTGAGGGGGTGTAGGGTTCTTTTTTTTGAGGGGGTGGTGCGTACCTGGATCTCCTGGAAGTTAATAATTCCTACTCCAAAATTGAAAAAGTACTTTTTGGCCTGAGGACACGGGTATTTCCACTTTCGAACGGGTATTTCTACTCTTGAACGGATATTTTCACTACCATCGAAGTGTTCATAAATCAGCACTGCACATAAATTATCAAAGGCTTATTGCGTAATGTTGGCGTATTTTTTACGTACCTCCGAACGGGCCCGAACGGGTCCGAACGGGTACGAACGGGTTCGAACGGGTTCGAACGGGTTTCGAACGGGTTTCGAACGGGTTTCGAACGGGTTCTGAACGGGTCCGAACGGATGCTTGAGCAGTCGGAACTACCCGAACGGGCATTTTAACACGGAGTGAAAATTATCACTCCAGCATGGAAGAAAGTACTTTTTTCTTTTTGGAGTGGAATTATTAACTTTCAAGAGATGCAGGTAGGGTTCCTGGTGCTATTGAGGGATGTGGATGCACTCAACCCCAGGTTTCTACCCTAAGGGCCCCCACATGCCCAGCAGCCTGGTTGATTCCCGTTGGCAAGCGGGGGAGCGGGGAGGCTTGGAAAGGTCCGGGAAGCCGGCGTCTCGATGCGGCTTTTGTGGCTCCCGAGGATAGTTGAGCGACTCAACGCATGTAGCAAAATGGCCAAACGGGGCCAAAGAAAGGGACAGGCGCTCCTAGACACATGTCAACCCCCTTTTTTCAAGAACTCACATGACCAAGTGCACTCTCAGTTGCCCTCCTGTTTCAAGAACTCGCAAGAGATGCGAATCCTGTCTTCATAATTTGTGCCGAGCTCTGGGGTAAAACGAGCTCATGACAAAGATCCTTCACTTCTTGAACGCTATTGGGATGGATCTTTAGACTTTCACTTTTTGATAAATAAATGTATTTTCCACTAAACCCCCAAAAAGTTGAACTTTTGCAGGGGGGTCAACAGCAACCAAGACTTGAAATTCCCTTGTTCAGGTTTTGAGAATCCAAGTCCCCAAAGCTCCCAGAGGCCCGGATTCCTTCGCTCCTTCGTTTTGGGACATATGGTAAACACTTTTTGCCGCGTGTTCCACGCCCAAGACTCAGCCGAGGAGCGGATGGCGCGGAGCCCGGTAAAGGCGGCCGTGGGCGCCAGGACTTTGGTCCTCTGCAGCCGCCTGGCGGCGGCGCTGCACGTGGCCTCGCGCGACGCCCGCGAGGCCCAGGGGACGCGGGAACGCGGGCGCGGACGCGGCCGATGGAAGCTGGGACTTTGGCGCCCCTTAAAGGCTCATTAACGAGATGGAGCTTGGCCATTCGCATTGTCTTTTCCACCAGGCCAAAGGAACCCAAAGGAAGCTAATGGAGGAACTTGATTAATAAACCCGCCCCCCCCCCCCCCCCCGCAAGGTCGACAAGGTTTGGGAAAATCAGATTTTGGGGGTTCCCCTGGGGCCTCCCCCTAATAATTGATCTGCAGGACTTGAGGCTTGAGAAGCTTGACGATTGAGGTTTGGAGGCTTGAGGTTTCTGATCAGCTGCCAGGCTCTCCGGTCCTTTTGTGGACCCCTGTTTGGCCAATAGGACTGCAATGGCAAATTGCATTCTCTTATTTTCCAGGGCTGGAGAGGGACTTGATTAATCAGAGGGGGTTTTGTGTTATTCGGGGGGGGGCTAGCCTTGAAGGGGGGTACCCTTTGCGAGCTTGTCAAACCTTGTTTGTTTTAAACAAAATGTAATAATAAATTTGCTGTTTCCGGCTAGCCGTTCTTTTTGATTTCTGGAATGGCAACCCTTGAGACTATGAAAGGAGTTGGTCTTGGCAAAAGTATTGGCAATAGCTTTGGCAATTAAAAATGTATTTGTTTGTTTGTTTTTTTCCGGAATTTTGGGCCGGACAGGGACGTCTTTAATCAGGGGGGGGTTTTGGAGGTGCCCACAAAAAAATAAGGGGTGTTTTTTGGCCAAACCTTGTGGGTGCCTTTAAAGTAGTATTGCCTGGAAATGGTCTGGGGAAACCGGACGTCTTTAATCAAAGCGGGTTTATTAATCATGTTCCACCATTAGGTGGATGGAGAATGGGAGGATTGTTTGGGCTGTCCCCCTAGCGATAGAACCTGGTTCGGAATCTTGTTCAACCCTTCTTGCCACTGGAGTGCACCTGAACTTTGCTGAAACGGAGCTTTCATGCCACAAACAGAGTTCGCTTGTAGGATGCATTACTAGGTCCGGTCAGCAAATCACCCAAATAGCTGATGTAGGGATCCCGGCTGTAGCCAGGTGTTTTTTGGAGGTTTTTCGGACCCAGTTGGCGTAATTTGATCGAATTGGGGCAGCCAAAGCCATGGGCGCGGCACTTGAGTTCAAATTTCTTGGCTTCCGAAGCCCGTTGGGCTCATTAGTTGTTTGGTTGTTGTTCTTCAGTTGGTTTGGTGGTATACGGCTCGTTTTTTGTTTTGTTGTTTTTTCCCTGTTTGTTTTTTTTTCAGTTGGTTTGGTGGTAGTTTCCATTTCACCAACTAAAGTTAGTCGCTTTCAGAAGGGGATCTGAGGGCAGGTGTGATGGTGTGCCGCTTTTAGTGTGGATGTGTGTTGTTGTTTTCTTGGTCTCTGCTTTTTTTCAGTTGGTTGGTTGGCTTGTTTTGTTGGCGGGTTGGTAAAGCGAACAAGTTGAGTCACGTACTCTGCAAGGGGCAGGACGGTTTTTAGGTGGACATGATTCCGGGATGATGGGAAGTTGGGAAGGGAACTTTAGCATCCAACCCCACCAACGAGTTCTTTGTGGTCAGTTGCGTTTGCTTTGCACGTAAAGTCAGACCGAGAAATTGGCTTCCCTTGGTCTCTGAGTTTTGCTTGGGTGCTACATGGTCAGACACATCCTGACTGGGAATTCAAATGCGCAACACTTTTTCTTTGGGTGGCTTCCGATCCGAAGCCTATTTAGACACAGAGGGAACCTCAAAAGTGGTTCGTGGTCATGAACCCTCACCTATTGAAAGTGGGTAGCAGCCATCCCCAACAGCCACCTCAAAAGTGGTTGGTGGACACTCACCTAGATCATGGATCCAAAGGTTCCCCAAGACACTCATCCAAGTGTCAAAGTGTTCCATAGAAACAGCGTTGGGAACCACCTCAAAAATGGACATGAACATGAAGCTTCACCTTTGTCCTGTCAGGGTTTCCCAACAAGATTCACACCAGGGTCCCCCTTAAAAATAAATGAGTCACACACCCATCTCATGGTTGTTGTTGGGTAACATTTCGCATGTTTGCTTATTTTGGTCTAGTGGTCGAAACCCAACCACTTCACTGCTATTTTTTTCATTTTTCGCTCCCCTTCCAACGTCAACCAATCGGCGCGAGCCGTCGAGAGAGGCCCTGGACGCCTTGACGACGCTGCAGCGCCACTTCCCGGAAAATATGCTCGCCAAGCGCCTGCAGCAGGTCTTGGCGGCGTCTCGGACGAATCGCAGTGGGTGGGCCTTGGGTCAATGGGTATGCCTGGTTTTGAGAGCACCCCGACCAGTTTTTGTGGGGGAGTACCCACTCAAAATGGCAAAAACCATCGCACAATCATCCGCAACATAAGGAAATCAACAAAAGCACCATTCGTGCGTCTGTTTCTAGCTACCCCCCCCCCCCCCCGAAAAAAAAGAAAAAAAAAAAAAGAAAACACTAATAGAATGGTGGTGTTCCTTTTGGTGGTCCTTTGAAACCACAAAAACAAAGAATCCCAACAAACAGTGCCCCTGTTCTTTTGCATGGGTCAAAGTGAACATGTTCAGGGGTTATCAAAATTCAATTTGGTCTTGGTGTGTTTTGATGCACCCACCTTGCTGATGGAATTGCGAAGGGTTCTGTTTGCTCCCAAATCTGACACTGCAACTTTGGAGGATCTGATGCTGAGCTTTATTCAGAATGATGCGTTTACTTTGCCACGGAGCCTGGGCATTGCTGTTTGCACCATCTAGAGGGACCGTTTGATGGGCTGGTTCCATGACGTGGGTGGAATGTTACGAGAAGGGAGGGTTCACCTTTTTACACGCATGGCCCAGAGTCGGTTTCACCCCAAATGACGCATCAAGTCTCACATAAACCTTAGGTTTGGTTAAGGGTAGTTTCCCATTTACCAGGGCTTCAAACCCAAAGCTGGGGCTTCTCCCTATGGAGCACCAAAAAAGCCGTCCGGATGCCATGCAAACCCCATGGGCCAGTGCCCCTGGGCCGAAGGGGTCGAAGGCCTTCAGTGGCCCGGGTCGAGAGACCATCGGGTGACCTCCACTTGGTCTGGATTTGGATTGGACGCCCCGGTGCTTGTAGGGTAAATGGAAACAAAAACGCCCTCAAGCACCAAACCACCAAACCACCAAACCACCAAACCACCAAACCACCAAGCCACCAAACCACCAAACCACCAAACCACCAAACCACCAAACCACCAAACCACCAAACCACCAAACCACCAAACCACCAAACCACCAAACCACCAAACCACCAAACCACCAAACCACCAAGCCACCAAGCCACCAAGCCACCAAGCCACCAAGCCACCAATCCAAATAAGCGCGCGTTACTTGAGACTTGATGCCGCGGCAGTCTTCTTTGTGGGTCCAGGTGGCACTCTCAAGCCACGAGTTTGCCTTGCTTCCCATTGCTCACTTGCCCAAAGCCGACCTGTTAACCTTAGACCTTTTGGTTTTCCCTTTTGGGCAACCGTTGTTAGTCATGAGTCTGGCCCCAAGTGACCCTTGTATTTTTATGTCTTTGGGCAACGGAGATAGGTGTGGGCGGCTTGGGTTGCATTTAGGTCAGGCCCTCCAAAAGCGCCGGCCCCTTGGCCCTCCCTTTCGCACAAAAGTACGATCGCTCGAGGTAGAGTGCGCCTGCATCATGAAAGGCAAGGTGGCAGTGCCGGAGACGGTCCCGGCACCTCGTCCCAAAAAGAGGCCCCTGGCCTACAGAGGCTTCCGAGCCATGTCCCAAAACTGTGGATACTCCAAAGTGATCCATTCAATGGAAACTATCAGCAAGTCGATCATTTTTTGAAGGGCAAGGACTTTCAACTTTGGGCTTGAGCCGTTTTAGTGGCAACCTACAAGATTGAAAGAGTGAGACTTTGAATAACTTGGGTTTTCCGGATCATTTTACCCCGGGTCGCGCTGCACCTCCAAGCCGCTTTTTTTTTTTTTGGTTTTACTTCGGCCCTCCGAAGTCAGGTTCCATATTAATGGATAAGAGGGTGGTTCTTTGGTGTCTGTAATCTGACCGGTGGGGCTTCCATGTTTCGTCAAAAACTCACCCCAATGATTAAAACCCCCCCTTCAAGGTGGACCAGGTTTTGGAAAACTGGGTTTTGGAAAACGGATCCTGTGTGGACCTCTGTCTGGCCAATAGGACTGCAATAGGAAAGTAAAAGGAGATGGCATTTGTTACGTTTTCGGGCTGGAGAGGGCAAGGATTAATCAGAGAGATTTGTGTTATTCGGTGGGGCCAGCCTTGAAGGCGGGTCGCAGCATTGGTATTCGCTCTTGATTGTTGTTGTTGTTGTTGGTTGAATGGGCCGGAAAGGGACGTCGAGAATCAGAGTGGGTTTTGGAAGTGCCCCATCCTTGCGGGTGCCTCCACCCTTTCCCTAAGCCTGTTGCTTCATAGACTGTTGTTTCGACCCTTACCCGAATCAAGCTGCAAATTTTGAGCCAACTCGGTCCATGTCCACGACCAACTCGAGCTTTGCCGTTTTCACCTTTTGCCCTTAGGAGAGACTTGTCTCGACCTGCATCCAAACGGGTTTGTCTTAAAATTGGGGACTCCCTTGTATCTGGTTGCGTTGTAAGGTTCACATACCTTCCTGTCCACTAGCCTGGAGCCTGACTGAGGCGTCGACTGAGGGCTGCCAGACGATTTTCCTTTCACCCTCGGATGGGTTCCATGTGGGTAGGGTAGCACTTTGACTATTGGTTCGGGGCCAGCACAGCTGGGGCCCCCGGTGTCTGGGTTTCCCTCAAGGCCGCAACCGGGGGACGTCCAAAGATTGGTTGAAGCTTTCCTTTTTGGATGTCAACTTGGTGGTTCGCAGCGATTCGGTTCCTTTGCTTGTTTAGCTTCTTGGTGTGGAGATTTCCGTGCTTAACCCACTAAAAGTTGAACTTTTAGCAGTGGATCTGATGACAGCCCACTTAACAAACAGGGCTTTAGTTAAACGTTTTGAAGGCATCAACCTCGTTCCAGACATGCCCCTGAAGCCCAAAAATCAGGACAACTAAAAAAACACAATAAAACTGAACCGAAGAGAATGAGAACCCACGCCTTGAGGCGTGCGTTGATGGGTTTGTCTCAGAGGTTGGAACCATGACATGCCTACCTGGATCGCCAGTTGCGATCGCTTTTTTCCATGCTCTTTACCCCCAAAAACCAGCAACCATGACCGAAAAAGCGATTGCAACTTGGCTATCTAGGTACCAACAAGTTGTTCCTCGTGTTTGGCTATTGCGCTGCGGATGTCTCCTTGGAACAGGCTTACTTGCCTCTCCTCGTGTCCAAAAAACCCTTGTTTTGGCGTGCCTTTCTCAACAAAACAAGATCATGGCCTTGGATCCCTTGCGCTGCCTTTAAGCCATAGTGAACGAGTAAATGCCAAAAGACGGGGCTTACCTGGGGTTCCCTTTCTGGATTGAAGCTCCTTCCTTTCCGGGCCGCCCCACTAAACCAGCAAAAATGATAGCCCGGGACAACTGGGAGCCACAAAAGCTCATAGTTTACATTGTTTGTTTCACTTTCCCAGAAGCCAGCCTGCCAGGGATGTGCTTTGCACGGACCCTCTAACGAATGGAACGAAACACCTGGCAAACGTGGCGGATCATTGCTGCCATTCAGGTGATGACTTCTTTGCTGAAGGCGGTCCTGCAATTGGAGGTAACCCTGCACGCTGCGGTCCCCCCGACCGCGCTCAACCCGCGGCCCCTTTTCTGTGTGGGGGGTGGGTCACGAGGTTGGAGAAACTGCTCCACAACTTGCTGCTCCAAGTCCAACTGACTGAAATTTGGTTGGGGAGTGGGTTGGTCCTGGGCAGACTACTTTGAAGGGAGCGAACCAAGGTAATGGCATGTTTCATATAGCAGGGTTCACCTCTGCTGAACCCCTCTGTTGTGATCTTGTCTCAGAGCCAGCCGCAAACCGCAAGGTTCTTTTGCCAATGCACCGCGGATCATCCCTTCAACCCCAAGTAGCCTTTTTACAAGATCACGGTTCAACAACACTCGCCTAAAACTCCATCATCCACCGCTGGTTGTAGGGTGCCACCAACATAGGAAGGGCTGAAGGGCAATCAGGCCGACCCTGTTCCCTCAGAGGATTCCTTGCTCCGACTTTGAGCGCCCACGTTGAAAGATTTTGCTCCCTGACTTCCTGGACTTCCTGGACTTTTTGGGCAGGCAGTTCCAGTGGCAAATGCACAATCTGCAATTTGTACTGGGCGCCATCCAAGAAGGTTGTATTCTGTTGCTATGCGGTCCTCCCTCAGTCAAACAGGCAGAGCTGTCAAGTGGACACAGTTTAATGTGTGGGTTGGTCCCCGCTGTCCCTGCCCGCAAACAATATTTTATTGGGGAGCAAGATCATTCGTGCATTATTTTACTGCCTTTGCCCGGTAGGTATTTCAAGATGTTGCAACACTGCCCACACAAGATGGGCCTTGGGTGAAGTAGACACCCTTTGAATGACTTGCCCTGTTTGTTGCGCCCTGTCTGGACAGGAACCCTCACGGAAGGGTTGATGGTTTCCAAGGCTGGGGCAGAGTTGGCAGAAGGCTTCAGGAAGCTGCTCGCTGGTTCCAGCCTACTTTCGTGTGGTTTGCTGGACGTTCCCTCCATGTCCCTTGTTGGAACCTCCAAAAGTGGCACTCCCACCAGTCAGCTGCAACCACCCAGTTTGCTGGATATGTTTCATGTTTAAGATTGACATGTTTGGTCTCTGCATCTAACCAGGTGCACCATTTGCCCCTTATCTTCCAATGTTCCCAACAGGACTTCCTGGCGCTCAGCAGGGAATGAGGGAACGATCCCCTATAAACCATCCCTGGTTTCCTTTGAGAGAACATCCTTAGGTTCATTGCATTTCTCATTCCCTACCAATCGCACCAGCAAGGGGAAGCCACAGATTTCTCTCAGACGCCCCTACTTGGAACCCGATCCAGCCGCCTTTTTAGGCGTCTCGCGAAACCCATGGCGCCGTTTCCGAGGAAGGTGGGTCAGGATCTGATGCCTTACTTGCTGGAGTGCCTTCTCGTGGGTATCACCCACTGCTGGCAGTGCGACTCTTACTTGCAATGCAGCCGAATTTGACATGGGCTGCAAGAGCGATTTCAATGTTGATTCTCGTCAAGCCCAAAAGGTTGCTCGGGCCGAGTCACTCATGAAGGTCCCAGAAAGTGATTTCCTTTCCCGGTCCTTCGGTGGACAATAGCTATTCACAAAGTAGAGGTCGCAGATGTGGCACTCCGCGAATGTCTACCATGGAAAACGTCCTGGACCACCCTCAAGGTAACCCCAACAAAAGCTGCGTGCGAGAACTGGCCCATGATGCGTCAAATGATGCGTTCAGTGTTGCAAAGAAGCAGCCAGAAAGGGCTGGGTATTTTTGTTCAGTGTTTCTGGGCCCCCTAAATATCAGGAAACACGAAGCAGCTTATGTTTCAGTCTTAGTCATGCTTGCAAACCAGGTCAGCCCATCACCTTCCAAGCGCCTTTGACTTGCAAGAGAGAAGATGAGAGAAGTCATTGTCATTCAGCTAACCAGGCCAGACAGCGCCATGAATCTGAAGCTCACCTCCCAAGTGTTTGGAGGTCAATATGTTTTTGTTTTTTGGTGTTAAGAGGATCTGTTTTTTCGGAACGTTTCGATGTCCAATCCAATTTCAGGAAGTGAAGACATCAGGGCACTCCATGCCATTTGACTGTTGGAAGGTGGTTGAGCCGTTCAGGACTGGGACACGCTCTCCCGGCAGCTGCAGCCGCTCAGAGATTTGGATCTTGCCTCAGACGACCCGAGCGGGATCGAGTCGGGGGGGTGAAAGCAGAATCAGTCAGACTGGGGATTCTGCCTCCCGTTTGGGTCTGTGGTTTTGCTCAGGGTACTCAATGGTTTTTGGTTTTTGGTTTGGTTTCCCTCAACCAGGGCCCAATGTTCGACCCTTCTGATCGGGTCTTGGCCGTGTGGTCTTTTCAGATTGGCAAGTCAAGGTCCACCCTTGGGCCCTAGGTCCGGCGATGGCAGCCAGATGTAAGGTGTCCATTTCGCCAACACAAAAACACCGGAAGGGGGTGTTGCTGAAACGTTGTTTTCTCGAAAAAGACTGCATCAGACCCCCAATTTGGGACCTGCGTCGCTTCGACCCCAATCTGTTTTTATTTGGGGGGGGGTCCTTTATGGAAAGTCAGACTGTTGCATTCCTACAAATCACCCAGGTAGGTGTTTCAGATTTGAGAAACGCATGGGACCTGGTCTTGTTTGCTTCAGATCATTTCCCATGGGCCGCCCGTCAGTGTCAACTCCAAAAAAGCGTCCCTGCGCGCACAGGAAGTCCGCTAAAGTTCGGGACTTGATTAAACACCTCAAAGAAAATAAGTGGCTGTTCCCTATGGCTCCTGAGATGCCACACGCAATCTTCAATTTTGCGTGTTGTTTGGTTTGGGTACTTCCCTTCCAAGTCCACCAGCAACACTTGCACCTTTGGTTTTCCCGTGTTGTCATATTTATTCTTGTATTCATCCCACAAGGGTAACCTTTTATGTTTGGATCCTGCAAGTAACTGATTGTTTTGATTTCTCTTGCCAGTTTGTTCCCCCACCCTTGCAACCAAAAAGGACTTTCTTGCGAGGTGTTGCAGCTTCCTCTCCTGGACTATGCACCGGGGAGCCTGCTGAAGCCCGGCCTTTTTTAGTTGCGTGCGCGCACCTAGCAGACAGATAGACCTCTTGTTACTCCCCATACATGAAGACAATACACCTATTGCTACCTGTTACCTGTAGCGTGGACATATGATGAACTGTGCTTTAAAGAACAGATACACGGATACCTAAAGATAGAACTGTTTACACCCCCCCATACCATTTGACATAGTCGATTTCGCACTGTATGTTGGCCACTCGCTTCATCATCGGCCTTTCGGGTCTCACAACTGTAAACAGTTCCTGACCAATCAAATCAGCATGCCACATGTACATAAACCCATGCATGAATATATAAGTATGGTCATCCAAAAATGCCAAAATCAGCGCAATGCCAAGACCACTGTCACAGACAGCGTTTACATGTACCTTGGGATCCATACCCTTCTTTTTCAGCCATCCTGCAAGCTGGCAGGCGGGTTTTGGCAGAAGCGTGTGTTAACTTCTGTGATGACTGAGGTATGTGTTTTACTTGGCATACTACGCGCGCACGTGTGGCGTGTTTTGGCATATCTAGTGGGGACCTGCTTATCAGGGGGCCGCCGTGATATGGTTGAAGCGGCTGAAGCGGTCTTTTTATGTTGGACAAAGGAACATCTGTCCCCCACAACTCGCTCCCCGACCTTGCAGGACCTGAGGCTCTTTGGAAATGACATGTTTGATCATAAACAGTCTGAGCACTGATTTTGGCCATTTCGCTCCACACATTCCGGCAAGAAATGGGTCTTCCACCTCTGTTTTTGGGAGTCCGAACAATCTTAGATACATCCATCTATCCCTGGCGATCTTCGGCATTCGATTCGAGGAAGCTCGTCCAGCAGCGCGCTCCCAAGCTGTTGGACGATGCGGCCACTGAACTGCCGGTGCCGCCCTGCGCCTACGCGCTGGCGTGCTTTGGTGTGGAAGGCTGGTTGCTTTTGGCCAAGGACCAAACCCCAATGAGTGTTGCTTTGTGTTTTTTTTGCTCGGTTGATTTGATTTTGGTTATTTGCTGTTTTTGATATATGTTTCCCTGTTTCTTTGTTTGATTGCGTTTTCTTCTGTGTTTTTCTTCCTTTTGGCGGGGTTGGAGGGGTTCCTTCCAGTGGGCGGGGTTGGGGAGGCGGGGGCGGGGTTCCTTCCAGCCTCCAAGCCATGGCCCGTCTTGTGGACCACAGTGGAACCAATCTGAAACTTCCTGACTGGTCTCGTTCAAGTAGGTGCTGAGTTAGTGTTTGGGGATCTTTAGCCTGGGTTTTCTGCACCCTTTGTAAGAAAACATGGGGCGTTCACATGTGAATGATGGAAAGACCTCTGTATTTGGGGGTTGATCAATATTGCCTTCGGCCCCCAAATGACCATGCCTAGCTTTGCCCATTTAGTGGTTGAAATATGAAATTTTGTTTTGTGGTTTTCCACCCCATGTTCATGGGACCTTTTGATCAACCCCCATGTGTTACCCACTGGCCCAAAAAGCCCCCACTCAGGTGCCTCTCTCAGGAGATCCACGACGCCCTCACTGTGCAGCGCCTGCAGGCCTTCAGTTCAAACGAAAAATGCTTGGCCTGTAGAGCCGGTTGGGCCACCAAAAAGATTCAAAGGGTCCCCCCCAGTTGTGAGAGTCCACATCTAGATTTCTCACTGCCCAAAGCGAATGGACAAATTGACCTTTGATTTCCCATGTTTGGTCCATGTTTAAGTCATGCCCCCAACAGGTTAACCTTTGATTTCTGGGTCCCCAAGGGGAAACTGAGAGATGTGTTTGATGTCCCACCTGTGGATTCCTTCTCGAACAGTGCCAAAAGGCCGCCTTGGAAAGTTGCCCACAGTCGGTGACACCAAAAGGTGCTTTGACTGTACCCTCCAACCATTTGGGCCCCTTTCGGCGCTCAAATATGAGCTTCTCAAAAATACGTCCTGTTCTTTCTTGGGGTCGGGTTTTTTTTTCCTTGGGCGGTCCCTTTACCCACAACTGAGAGTGGCGATAGGCAGCCTTTTCAGTTCAATTGGCCCTATCTCTTCAAGTTTCATGTGTAGCTCCATTAGGAAGATTAATGGAATTGGGGGGACCCCCCCCACTCCCCTCCTTTCGCTCGTCAGGATTGATCGTTCACTTGCTGGACTGGCACCCTCAAGTGGTTCCATGGCAGCGCGGGCTCGTGTTGGTATGTGTTGCTTGGCTCTTCACTGTTCTCAGGTGTTTCTTGTGAAACCATTGAGTTGGTTAGGAGGCTGCATGCTAGGGGTTGGGAAGGCATGTCCTAAATGTTGACACGATGAAGCATTTGTCTCATCTCACCAGCTTAAGCATGTCACGATTCTCACGCAAAATGCAGGCCGTTTCGAGGTCCATGGTTTGCGCACCACGAGTACCAGTTATTAAACAAGTCAAAACCAGAGCCCTACACAGAACCCCGACCTCTCCTAGCAAGCAACCACTTTTGACCGTCTTAGACCCACCGCGTTTCATGGCCCAACCACGATTTGGCATGTTCCGGGTACATGTGAATATGTACCGAACAGAGGATTGACCCTCAGTGGATGGGCACACTTATCAAATCCGATCAACCCCTTCCACGATCAAAACAACCAAACCAGACTTCATCAATGCTCTTTAGTATTGAAATTGCCTAAGCCTAAACATGTATTCATCACTGCAACCATTGCTCAACACATACACATGGATTTATCTATATATGTGTGTACTTGCATATGGATGACAATGTCCATTTAAAGTCCTTGGTCCTTATGATTCTTCGTGGCCTAATGCTGTGTGCCTTGGGTGTCAGCATGTGGCTCGTTCGGCAGGCGGAGCACGCGGACGCCATGGCGCTCATGGCGGCGTTGAGAAGTCGGGTCTTGGCCTTCCTGGCGGAGGATCGCGCGCCTTGAGGGCGGGCGAGTAGTGGACATCCCCAGATCTGGTCCCCCTTCACTTGCTGGTGCGAGAGGTAGGGAGGGAGAAATGGAATGAACCCAGGCTTTGTTGATCCCCTGAAAGTTGGATGGTTTGTCAGGGTCATTCCATTTCTAACTCCCTGCTGAGCACCAGAAAGTGAAAAATTGAACTGCGGGAGGGGGATTTCGACCCCAGGAGATCTCCGATTGTGGCAACCAAAAATGGAATTGGGGGACCCCCCACCCCCCTCCCCCTTAAGGTAGGGGGGATTGGTGGACCTCCATTCTAGCGGCAAGAACAAAACTCGAACCCTTGTTGGACAATCAACTCAAGAAGTGAGGGAATAAGGGGGGGGGGTCCGGGTTGCAACCTTTGTCTTTTGTGCATGTCTCCAAATAGAAGTCTAGTTGTCCGGGCCAAAAGAGGGCAGCCGGTCTAGGAGGGCCGCAAGCGGCGCCAGCAGCCGCGGCGCGGGCGCCCGCGCAAGACGCAGGCGGCATTGCCGGGGTGGCCGGCCTTGCCGGCGCCCAAGGCGAAGGCGAAAGCCAAGGCAAAGGCAAAAGCGACGCTCGGAGTTTGCCTAGTGCTACCTTCCCCATTCTTTCCAGGGATCCTTTTGTCTAAACCTCCAGAAACCCCCCGGTCTTCGAAAATAAGGATGGTTGGAAGGAACGGGGAATCAACCCTTAGATTAATCTGTTGGCGGGTTGGCAATTTTCTTGAAAGCAGCATAAAATAGCATAAACCATCTAACCCAACTAAAAGGGCATTTCCTTTTCCCAGGTCCCTGAAGTTCCCTTTGGGGTTAAAAACAAGTCTCAGCCTGGTGTTGCCCCAAGGCCGTATTTTGCAGAAGCCGTGGGAGGGTCTGGGGAAGAGGATCTTTGATCGACCGAGCTTGTTTCGGCCACGCGGCAAGGCTGCGCTGTTTTTTACGTATCCTCCCTTGTGCGGGGAGGTGGTTTGGAGTTGTGGCTATCTGGATTTGAACCCAGGGCTCTTGTAGAGGTAAAACAGTTCCCCAGCCCGGAACACCACTCCAAACCACCAATCCAATGGCTGAAGTTGATTCAAGGAACCTGTTACAAGCCTTGCATGTGAGATCAACATGCTACCCGAAAAACAACCATTTGTAGAGGAAGCCTTTTTGGGTCCATATTATGGGCTTAAGAAGTCTTGTGCAGCTATTTGGCCTCTGAGATTACCTGCAGTAACTGCTTGTAAATGCTTTGTTTGACGCACACCAGAAGTTTTCAGGGAGTTTGGGGGAGTTATGAAGCCCCTTACTTGGATGTTCAACCAACTTAGTAAGCAGGTTATAGCTATGGTTGTAATGTAACTCGTGTGACTGGGGTGATCGTCCCCTTACCATGGCTTTTTACCTACTAACCTGACGTTGGTTCAACATCCAAGTAAGGGTCTTCATAACTCCCCGTCACCCCCCCGCAAACTTCTGGGTTCCCTCAATTAAAGCATTTACAAGGACTGCATGTGACACGCGGAGCGCTCATTTTTTGGCCCAGGAAGTCGGCCGGTCCCGGCGCGCGGTCCCGGTCGGCGCGGCGAAGCAGCCGCAAGGCGGAGTCGCCACCGCGGCCCAGCAGGGCAAAGGCGAAAGACAAGGCGAAGGAGTGGAAGGGAGATGGGCCATTGTGTCCTTTTTCTAGGGGACCCCCACAAAAAGGGCGGATGTCCTTTTTTGGCGTTCCTGGAAAACCACTGAAAGAGGGGTATCCGCACAACTCACCCGTAAAAAGGGGGCACAAAAGGGTTTCCATTGAATTGAAGGAGCCCTGCGATTTGAGGTTGACCAAGTCTTAAATTAAGACTGCACATATGCTTTTGGCGTCACCCCATCATTACTATTTATCTCATTCAGATTTGTTGTTTGTTCTTTGACATTCTTTGACCCTATTGTTGTTTCCTGACACCAGTTTCAGCACCCCCCCTTTTTTCCGTTGTGCTTAGCGAGCTCAATGAAGATGGCGCGCCCTTCTTAGGGCATCCGCCTTTTCCGTAGTGAGTTGCAATCAGAACATCCCCACCCCGTTTGAAACACATGGAACCCCCGCAATGGCATTCGGACTTAGGACTCATTTTTTGTTTGGCTTTCAGGGATGAGCAAATGAGCCTTTTGGCCAAAGGTTTGGTCAAGGTTCCAATGGGTCTATGCTGGTATGTTGCGCTACGTTTTGCTATGTTGGTTCTGCTTCTTTTGCTGGCGGATGCCACCCCGATCAACATCAACCAGGGTGACTTAAATACCAGGGTTCACATTTACGAATTCTGGATCCCGTTCAGTCCGCCTCCGGCACCCTTTGGCCTCAACGGCTTTCTGGCACGGTCAGTTCTGGCAAGCTTGTTAGTTTTTGCTTTTTGGGTCATTTTTAGCAGGCAGCTGCAAACAACACAGATTTTTGCCGCCGTACCAAGGGTTGTGAATAAATAGAACACATTTCTCGCCCAAAACGGCAAGCCGCCCAACGTGAACTCGTCACTTGGCTCTTGGGGTATCTTTGGCTTGGCTGCGATCGCTGATGGGATGCAATCGTGGCGCCGGCCACTACGCTCAAAGTGCATGAGTTTGTTTTGATATTTTCCTGGGGGCAACTGGACGCCAGATGAATCTCATCCAGGCAATCTACATGGGGTAACATTCACCGATTCCTGCAAAAGCTCAATTGATGTTATTTATTGAGTTTCGTTGGGTTGGATCTACACACAATGTGGGGGTTGGAGTATTTCATGCATGCCATATCTTGTTGGCAGGAGGAGTCAGCACTGGTGCTTTCGGACGACAAGCCGAAGGATAGCACGGGACAAGACCTGCGAAGCCTTGTGGTGCCTTGTCCAAGCCCAGTGCCCTTTCTCCCTTTCTGGGAACATAGGCGTCCTTTTGGGTTACTTTGGTAAGAAATAAATGGCAACTGGAAGAGAACCCATCTAAACCACAGCCAGGGCCATCTATGTCATTGAAAGGTCATCTATGTTTGGGAATAGTTTGCCTTTGAAATCAAGCAGCCCAGGGACCCAAAATGGTGTCCTTTCCTTCAGACCACTGAGGCCCAGTGAGTGTAAGTCTAGCGGCCTCGGTTAAAGCTCAGTTGCCATTTTCGGAAGTGGGAAGCCCCCATCCAACTTTGAGGTGTGTACACTCAACGCTGCTGCTTAAGAGCCTTGCTGTGCCTGCATTGCCTGGTGTGTGTGTGTGTGTGTGTGTTCCGATTTCGTGTGTGTGTGTGTGTGTTCGGATTTCAAAGCCCTTTCGGGCCGAACATTGATGAACGGCTTCCTTCGGTATCCCTTAGGGACCATATATTTTCAGCCTCTCTTTGTTCATTCATGAGTGATTTCCATTGGACAACAACCAAACCGACACAAGGTCTGAGTTACTTGTTGGGGTGGGGCTGGGGTTCCACACAAGCCTCCCAAACAATATGCTGTCGCTTTCAAGGGAAGCCCGACAGATGTCCATGTTGTGTGGGGCTGGGCCCCTTGACATGCAAATACAGGGGGTCAATAGTGCACAAATCGGCACCACCAATCTAAGCCACCATTTTCATGGAAGCTGAGCAACTAGGGGTTCTATAGTGGACCCTGGTTTAGATGTAAAAAAAAAAAACATTTACCAGGGCCATCTAGGTTTCCAGAAGGCCGCCTATGACCTAAGGAGATGCTCGTTCAGAATTATGGGCCGCTGCCTTTGGCGACCTCCTTCACCGACCGCGCAGAGAAAGCCATCGACGCCATCGCCTTTGCAGCGGGGAAAGGCTTGAGCAGACGCTGGGTGCGAGTTGGGCTGGCTCCAAACCAAGATGGATTTTTTCTTGGTTGGCAACCCCCCCTTTTCGTTTGGTCCATGCATTATCTTGTGACAAGTCCTTGCGTCCGTTTGTTGGGCATCATGTTGGAGCCCGGCCGGTGTCTTCGGCCCGTGGCCTCTGAGCAAGTCAAAGGTGTTCTGCTTTCTTAGAGTTCGGTTGTCTGTTGAAATCCCTGCAACACGCAAAGCTGTCCATTCTTCCCTTGGCAAGTACTGCTTCCCGTCTCTAAGGAGAGGATGAGGATGCAAAGGACGCGGTGAGTATGATTGAGAAGCTCGGGGACTTCGTCAAGTCCCTCAGCTAGTCTTTGGAGCGCTCCAAAAGTTTGGTAATTCAGCTTATGCAGCGGAGACAACTCGTTTCATTTTCTGTTGACTGCGGGTGTGTGATTTGGACATGTCCGTGAGCCTAGTTATGCTTAAGGGGGGCAGTCTGGGCGGTCTGAATGTGATGAGTTCAGGCCCTTTGTAAGGGTCCAATTCAACACGGGGCTACCAATTCCGGGTCTTGTGCTTGATCATTGATCCCGCTACAACCTCCCACACCCCAAACTCTCGACCCCTGCGTGCGAGGCCGCAAAAGAACATGCTGCCTATTGCATTGCTTCTTTCTGCACCCCCACGCCAAACCCATGTGCCCTTTTCCAACAACATTTGGGTTAGGGATGGGCTGAGGTAGCCCTCGACCTCTGTCTTTTGCTAGGCCCCTTTGAAACCTACCTAAAAGGGGTACCGGGTACCAGCTCAGAATGAGAACTGGAATGCACCTGTGGTTTTCTTTAAGGGGACCCACAGCTTCATTCGATTTCTTATTCCCTGCCTATCGCAGCAGCAAGCTTTGATCTGGTCCAGAAATTTACCAAGGGCTATCAACTCCAAAAAGCCCAATTTCTAGAGCCCTCGCGAATCTGTTCTTTGGTGGTCCTGCAGCTTTTGAGGTACGTGTGTCTTTCCCTTTAAATACTGCCAAGCATGACCAACTCCAAGGAAAGGTGCCCCAGTTTGTAGACTAGGTCTCCCGGTAGCCTTTTTGTTGGGGGGTTCCCCTACTAAAATAGACTACAGAAACAAGTTGGTACCAACTTATTCTAACCTCTTTACTGGAAAAACAAATCGGGTAGCCTTATTCTAACCTTTAAATCTGGCGGACCTAGGAGACACCCCTCTGGATCTGCGCGGGACAACTTGTTTGATCCATTTCCCTTTACTCACTTCCTGAGTTCATGCACTTTAAACTTTTGGGGAAGACCATTTTAGTGGTACATATAAAGTTTGGACTTTTTTTGGACCATCCACTCATGAGTTTAACCTCGCATGACCAACTCCAAGAGACGTTTCAGTAGAGACCCCTCTTGATCGGCGGTGGCCCTGAAGCTTTTGGGAGCCCTCCCAGGTACCTCCGCGAGATGTTGTCCTCGGAGCGCTTGGCGTGCCAAACCGCGGTGGCCTGGCAGATGCCGCGCCTGGTGGCGCGGCTGCTGCAGAGCGCTGTGTGGCACAGCTCCTGGCCGCTCGGCTGCCCTGAGCCTCCAAAAGGGAAGAGTGGATGGTGGGCCTTGGCTGTGGGTCAGAAATAGGTACCCACAATGGAACCCTGGTAAGTGGAGAAGTAGACTAAAAACCCGCGGTCCCCGATTATGGGTCAAAACCGTTTTGGGATCCCAGTTTGGGGGATTGGTGAATTCACCACCAATTTAGTCGGGATTTTAGTGGGGATTGGGATGTTCACTACGAGAGTTTGACCCATGGCCACAAAAGGGGAGGGGAGGGGATGGTGGACCTCACCTGGCGTTTCTTAAAATTCGTTTTGGATCTCTGTGGGAAGAGAAGTTCAATAGCGCAAAGAGAGTGGACTTTTTGGTTGACACCTACTCAATGAGTTGTAAGGCCCGCGCATGGAGTTGGCCCCTTTCCATGGCTGTGTGGCATTCAAGCTTTACACCCGTGTTTGTTGGAGGTACAGCATTTATACCATCACTTGCGCACAAAGCTCAAATATTTTGCTGGCCTTCCCCCCCCCCCAGGCAAAATATTCCCCAGGGTCGTGTTCAAAGTCTCCAGCTCAACCAAGGCATTCTTACCTCTCAGAGGAATAGGGTCTTTCGGGCCGGGCCAAGTCAAACCACCAGCTGTTTTACAGGACGCACAGAATCTCGGCACTGAGTGTCCGCCTTTTTGTGGCGAGCTGAGCATCCACAAACGAGAGGCTACTCATTGCTGGGGTCTCCGCAAAACTCATAGTTATTGTGCAGAACTGAACAAAACGGCGTATATATAAGTTACTTCAGCTCGGCTGCGGCGTACTATCAAAAAAGTTCCCTCATGAGATTTCATGAGCATAGGCCAAGAACCCACACCACCAGTGCGGATGTGTATTTGCCGTGTGTTTTGTTGTTTGGCCTGTTGAGTCCTTTTTAAGATCAACCCGCCTCAGAAAGCAAATAAAACAGTAGCCGCCCACATCCCCACTAACGATGCTAACAGATCCGAGGGAAGACCAATTGCAGATCCCTTTTTGGTTGGGAGGGTTCCCCTGCTAAGAATGGCTACAGAAAAAGAATCGGGCACCCTAATCTAAGCTCTCAAATCTGGAGGCACTAGAGGAGTAAATTGGAAACTACCTTCAAGCACCAAACCACCAAACCACCAAACCACCAAACCACCAATGCAAATACACCTAAGGAATCCTAAGGGCCTCGCACCATCTCCAGGTCCCCCTGTAGTGCCCTTTCTTACCCCTTTTTCGGTTGGGAGGGTTCCCAAGTGCTTTTAGGTTTGCCAAGCTTTGCTGCCAACACAGGACCTAGAGAATCACTAGCTTCAACCACCAAACCACCAAACTAAGTAAACCTAAGGGATCCTAAGGGCCTTGCACCGTCGACTTTCGCCCTGGTGTTTGTCGGCGACTCGCACCGCTTCATTCGCTTCCGGCCCGAGGAGGCACGCCTTGGGCGACCTGCTTCTTCTAGTGGTCGATCCGGCGATGGCGCCGCATTCGGCCAACGCCCTCTGGGCACAGGTGCCGTGGGTGTGTGTGTGTGTGGTTTCTTGCGTTTTGTCGTGTTGTGTGTTTTGTTTGTTTTGATTTGTGGTGTTGCATTTCTGTGTGTTTGTTGTTTTGCGTTCTTTGTTTTTGGTTGTGTGTGTGGTTGGTTGTTTGTTTGACAGTTTGTTGCTTCTACGTTAATTTAATATTATCGTTATTTTTCTTGGATTGGTGCGGGTTCTGTTCGGTTCTGTTCGGTTCAATTCGATTTGTTTGCTTGCTTGTTTGTTTGTTTGGATTGCGTCTGCTTTGCTAGGAGCTTTTTGCGATGCTATCAGCAGTCCTGCGTTTTGAGTGAGGTGACCAGCGAAGGACAAGCGTGGCTGGGATTTGTTCAAATTCATCATTCCCTTCTGCCGGTTCTACAGCAAGCAAATAAAGGTAATGATCACCGCATGCGGTTTCCTGCCAGTGGCTTCCTGCAGTCTCCATCCTAGTTGTAGAGGTTCCAGGCCGCCTTAGGCGGCCGACCTACGCGCTTTTCGCGACCTGGAGTTGCGAGGTGGTGGGGGACTGGTCCTCCCACGCGGCGCATTTGAGCCGCATGGTGGCGGTGGGCAGCCTGGCACTGGAGCTGGAGCTGGTGCTGGTGGATGCGGAGGCCAGAACTTCCATGGAGCCAAAGGGGAGGTGCTCGCCATAGATCCCCTGAACTTGGTATTTAATGTGTGGATCCCTTTGGTGTCTGTTTTTTGAGGTGCCTAACCCCCCCTCCATGTTTGGGGGTTAACGGAAGCCACAGGGAAAAGTACATGTTTTTGTGGTTGTGTTTGTGTTTTTTGAGGGTACCCCTTTGTTGAAAGGAGAACTGCCACCTGGCGTTCGAGGAAGCCCCAAAACGACCACTTCCATAATTGTTTGAAAGAGGGTAGTTGGCATGCGAAGTATGTGACCGCAAACCACTTACTGTACTGCAAGGAGGGACATTTTGAGAAACACCCAACCATCCAGCCCAACCTCCAGTTCTCATGTTTTTTCCTCTTCTGTTTTTAGTGGGGGGCGTAAGATATTCTACAGGTACCTTCCCCATTCTTCCCAGGCAACCTTCTTTTCAGGAAACCATCAACATCCCAGGTGAAACGGCTGGTTTATGAAAATAACGGTGGTTGAAAAGAATGGGGAATCAACCCCTAGAGAGATAAGTTTACATCATGAATCCCCCAGCATTGACAAGAATTGAGCGGGGACACCTGATTTGTCCTATCTGTCTTTCAGCTTGCGGACCTCTGCTCAGGACTCACAGAAGCTTCGCGCCTCGCTGCAGCAGCTTCTCAGTTGCAGAAAGGGAAAAGACATGAAAGCGATCCCACCCGGTAGATGGATAGACCATTCGGGGTGGTGTCTTTCTAGGAGGGTACTGCTTTTTGGTTGGTTTTGACTGGAGCCAAAGGGACACCGACCATGAAGACACCCCCCATGTCGCACCTATAGACATCTGGCACCAGGTGCAAGGGGACCTCCATCGCTTGAAAGCCTTTGTAGGCCCTGTGCTATACATGCCTCAAAATCCCTGGAATGGTTCGCACCACCTACTCATTGCGGACCCAGACATAGGGGGAACTCAAAGGTCAATTGGAGAGGAGTTTGAGCAAAGTGAGCCGCGGAAACCCAATGGCATAATGGAACGATGTGACCCCCCTGTAAATACCAACGAACGTTCGGGTTTCAACCATGGCTTCAAGAAGTGGAGCGAACGGATTTCGTCCATCCATAGCAGAAGGGACTAGACCACTGCTAGTTCACTCATTTCACTCATGACCATACAAGCTTGAACTACCCCAGACAGCCTAAGTGGATAACTTGAACATCGTTTGGTGGCGTATGTTGAAGTAGCATGTTAATACTTCTCCTCTTCTGGGACCCGCTGTTTCGGTTACACTGGATTTGCTCCCCTTTCTGGTCATGGCATTCCAAAAAGTGAACCTTTGTATTACTTCGTACTCCAGTCCGTTGGTTGCAAGTGTTACTTAACTCCCTCACATGTTTACAAACATGATGTTCATTTGTGCTAGGGATGTGGTTGCCGAGCCTAAATAAACCCCAAACAAACCCAAGACCCGCCCTCATGACGATCTCATTAAACCCAACACCTGAAACCAGCCCCGCACAACTCGCAACTGCCACCAAATCAAATCCAGTCAGGCCTGGCCAACCAGGCTGAGAATTGTGCCTGCCCCCAACCGCATGAAGCAAGGGTTCCCAGCCAACTTGTTTGGCACATGAGGGGAGGTCTGCTGAGCCGGGGCTAGTACAAAGCAGTGGCCAGCATTGAGCAAAAAGTTGTTTCAAAGCAACCAATCGCATGCCGTGTTCCTCAAGGGATCCCCCAGGTTCCTTTGGCAACCAATCACATGCCATTGTTCTTAGTCCATATTAAAAAGGGGGGATCCACTTTTGGTTTTGGCTCAGTTGGGACCCCATACTTCTTTTAAGCGGGTTTCCCCCCTTTCATTGGGGTTACTTTTGGTTTCACCACCACCACAGGGGTACAGCCAAAGTGAGTGCTTGGCTTTAGGAGTCTGCTCTCTGCCTGAAGGCTCCATGCCTCCGTGCTGGGCTGGCTGGCTTCCACGCCAGATGCGGCGGAACCTTCGGAGGCGCTGGGCGAGTGTCACGGGATGGTTTGGACGAGTGAAAATTTGGTGGGTTCCAGCCATCCGGTTGCTTAGGTGGTTGTTTTGCAGGGCTTAGTTTAGTGGTAGTTGGTTCCTGAGGTCCTTTTTTTTAAAGGTTTTGAGTTGGTTTAGTGGTAGTTTCCACTGAGCCACTAAAAATTGGACTTGTGGCAGGGGATTTGGGAATAGCCCGGAAAACAGAGGAAACAACACCTAGGTCTAGGGGGTCTAACGTTCTGAGAAACTGGTGGGCTGCTGCCGCTAGGGACTCAGAACCCCCCGAAACTTGGTTTGCTTATGTTCTCTTCACCAGCAAGTCAAAAGGTGTCCAGAACTTCATTTTTGGGCGAGGCGGCAAGTGGCCCTTGTAATTTATTAGATTCCGAGTGCAATTGTCTTGATACCGACTGTGTTTCGCATGTTCTGTCGTTTTTCCTATATGACTGTTTCGCTTCAACATTGACTTTGGTTCTGCTTTAGAGGGGTTCAACGCGCAACGCGCGTGGGAAGCAAGTAGGCAACTTTTCCTGTGAAGCATGTGAAGTCAAATTTTCATTTTGAGGGTTCCGTTTGTTTCCCTTTTGATTCTCATTCGAGCCCGCTATTTGGTTTCTCAGGTTGGCAGGCCCAATAGGCGCGAATCGATTCCCCAAGCCTAGGGGCTAATAGTGACTAAGGCGCCTATTAGGGGCTTATAGGGTTCCTTTTTTGGGAGGTCCCCTCTTTGAAGGGCCCTGAACCATGGGTTGTTGTCATTTCAAGTGGAGCCCCGAAACTGGTGCAGGGCGGCTCCTCCGAAATTATTCCAAATGTCTCCGGGTTGACTAGTACGCACCCCGGATTTTGTTCACCTATCCCATTTACAGGGGAATGTCTGTCCCCACCAAAGTGAAGGATTCAACCCACTAAAGGGGGGACACCCCGGTAATTGTCAAGGGGTTCTGCTTAATCCGGGGCTGACCAATGGGCATCATCTGATGAAGATCCTCTTCGGCACCACCGTTCAGACATACAACAACCCCAGCGCAAATACTAACACATGTTATGGTTGAATCGTTTGATTTTGGCGTGCGAACTGACTTCGTCCATCCACAGTATGGTGTACCCGTGGTTTGCTCCAAGATTGATTGAATTCCCCTGCATATCTGCAGTTGAGTTAGTCATGGGAACCCAACAAAGTGCCAGCCGATTTCAAGTCTGTAGGTGGCGAAGTGGTCAGGGATGCACTCGATGCACTCGGATCAACAAACAATATACTCATATACCCATTACCCTCCCACATGGAACTTGAGAATTGAGTCCCTTCAAGATGAATCGTTTGGTTGTTTCCTTCATCATTTCACAGGGCTCCTTAAAAGATCCCCATTTTGCCACCCGTTTGAACCATGCCTCGGCTTTTTCAACAAGATGAAGTTGGGACACCAGCAACGCCCGGATCCCAGGACGCGGCCCCCTCGGGCATTGCCAGGCGCGGGAAAAAAGCGGAGGAGGGGCGGGAAGGGTACGACCCCATGGAGAGCCCGGGGGTGGTTTTCTCCTGTGGGTTAGCTCACCTCCTGAGTTCATGGACTTCAAACTTTTTGGGATTGGACCATTTTGGTGGTAAATGCAAAGTTCGGACTTTCTTTGGCCAGTCAACTTGGGAAGTGAGTTAAACGGTTGGTGTTTGAATGACTAGGGTGACACAACACAAAGCGCGAGTGCCCTGTTGGTTTCCCTTGAAAGAATGAACCCGGCAAGTTGCTCCCTCAACAAAAAACACACCCAGTGGTCGTCGGTTTCTCATGGCCACTCAAGGCTGCCAGGGACATGGTTAGGCTTAAATCCGACTAAAGGTCCTTTTCCCCTTTCTTTTTTGGGGTTTCCGACATTCTCCCTTTGAAGCAGCAAGAGGTCTAATGCTGACTAGCTGACCCCGGATTGATAAACCCGCTTTTGGTGGGATTCATCACCAGGGGAACACACTCCGAGTAGTATGATGGGTTCTACTTGGATCCGGGGGCCAAGGCAGTGCCCCCTTCGTTCCTTTTGTTCGTGGGGAGTTCGGGGTTTCCCATTAAAATCATTTACATCAACCAAAACAGCGGTTTCACATCAACAAACAAAGTGAACCAAACAAAGGCGGTTTCCCAGTTTAAACGGCCAAACAGATGTGATGTTTCATTAAACACAACCGAAGAAAGTGGACGTTTTCTGAATATATGTATATATATATATATATATATCTATATGTGTGTGTGTCATTTAAACAAGCAAGCGGCCACTTGTTTCGGCTGTGTTGTTAAGCCGACGGCCATAGGGTTTCTGAGTTGAGCCAGTGCCAGGCTCGGGGAGAGCGAGAGCGAGGAGCTGGGCAGTGACGACACCATGTCCTCCTCGTCTGTAGACGCGCGGGATTTGGAGGACAGAAGGGTTTCTATAGCCGGACTTGTTCTGGTCTCCACGGTACAGCGTCACAGCGTAGTACCGGTGGTCCTTAGGGGGGTTTGAACTGCCCCAACTTTGATGGCTAGGTCTTCTACTGTCCGAGTAGCATTGAGCTACTCCACTCCGTCGCGTTAGAAAGGTTTCTATAAATTGGTTCGGACCGCTTTGCGTCAGAGCGATGTTTGTTCGACACTTTCAGCGGCTCTGAACCTTCTTTCGGGGGGAGGCCCCTTCTTGGTCTTTTGTGAAGCTTGCAGGGTGAGCACTTGCAACCAAGGCAAACTGGTAACAGCAGGCCAAAGGAGGAGTCTTCTGAGTATCTAACCTTACCCACACCATTGCCGCCGTGGAACCTATGAGAATTTGCCGGCGAGGGAATCACTTTCTATGGAGGGAATTGCGGGTCCCAGAACTCACAACCTTCCACTGGATCAGGCTTCGAGCTGGTAGACAGACTCTGCTTGACCCATTGTGCCATGGGTCACCCCGGTCCAGGACTTTGAGGATACATCCCCGCAGTTCAACGACTGCGGCTTGCTGGAAGGGCTTCCTGGCTGATTTGGGGTTGGAGGCGTGTTCGGCACATTTCAACCATGTCAACTATTAGTGACCCGACAAATAGAAACAAACATCCCCCTTGAGTTGGGAAGGGTCGTCCATTTGTTTGGTGTCGACCTTTGATTCGGATTCAACCCAGGACCGACTATTACAGTCCCACCCCCACAAAGGTTGGTCTTGAATGTGCAGGTTTCCCTAATTGGAGGGTTGTTCAGCTAAAAACGAACCCCACGCTCTAAGCAAAAGGCTTTCCAGTTGGTTTCGCTTCAAACGAGCCCAAGAATGTATGGCTATTTGGCCGTTGGACTTCAGCTTTTTGGTTGAATCAGGTCGGATTGTTATTGCACCCACAAACAAGTTTTCAACTTTTTGGCAGAGGGCTCAACAGAAACCAAGGTCCTCTTGGGGCAAGCGGCCAGCTTTTCCCTGGTCCAAGGGACGGGTTCCCTCCAAACCGACCTCCGGGGACCAACCTTTGGGTCGCTTGCCACGCGCGGATTTCCAGGGCGCCCTCTTCGCGCTTCGGCGCAGCCTGCGCCGCGGAGAGCGCAAAGACGCTGAAGCACCAAAGCTACCTCAGGTCGGACTGGAAGGCGCGGTACGATGTTTCCCGAGCGAGCTGCCCAAAGATCTCGCAGAGGTTTTTGTTTCCTAGGTCTCTTAGCTAGGTGCCCTTGTACCAACTTTTTCGGTTGGGAGGGTTCTACTAAAATAGACTACAGAAAAAGGGGCACCCTCATTCTATCCTCTCCACTGGAGGACCTGGTTGCATGTTCCATCTCCAGTCTTTGTCGGGCTTAAAGGAGAAAGGCGGGGAGACCAAAAAGGTTGTGGGGGGGTCGGGCATACGATCAAAAGCCCTAAGTTGTTACGCTGGCTGCTCTTCCTAGACCTGCCCGGGGAAAATACAAGAAAAAACATAACGGCGCTCAAAGCCGGACACTAGGTCCGGGACTCCAAAGGAGGAATCTGACTTTTCATGCGACTCAAGGCCGCCCGTGTTTCTCCGTCAGGGTAAGGACCATCGACATGTCATCACCTGGAGCCGTCAGAGCGGAACATCCACAGACCTGAAAAAAACATGCAACTCCAATACTATGTGCAAGAAATAGTTGAGTCATGTTGAATGGACATTCTACATATTTCTACATTTTTAGATCCCGAACGAAGGAGTTTTTTTTGCGGAGGGGTCGCATTGGTCCCCAGTTCCCAGCTTGGGGTGCCCAGTCTTGAGGTCGAGAAAGCGCGGGTTTCGTGTTGGTTCCAAGTTTTTTGGAGTTGGGCCATTCTGACTTCGTAGGCCCCGCGCAGGTTTGGGGGGAGGTAGGGAGAAGTGGTTAATTCGTACTGTTGACCCCGGACAAATGAACCCGTCCATTTTTTTTGTTGGCGGGTGCTCCCCTCAAGTAATGAAACCCACTTAGCAGGACACCCCCCGATCAAAATCGACTAGGGGTCAGGAAACCTTGGAATTGAACCCCCTGTTCTTGTTGAGTGTAAATGAGAATTCATGCCCCCAACTCCCAACCACCAATCCACACCACCAATCGGTCGTGTTTTTTATTGGTTGAGGGACCCCTAAACGGTTTGTCCTTTGATTTTCCCTCAAAACCCAAAGAATAAGGGCACCGAGCTTCAAGAAAGGACGAGATGACTATTAACCAACCAGCAGCTTCCATGAAAGCCACAATCAACACCCGGTAAGATGAAGGCTAGTAAGGGGCAGCTCCAACCGTAAATGGGTGCAGCCGCCTTCGGGTAGACCATTTTGAACGTTTTGATTACGACTCTGTTGGTGGTTTGGACTGGCGGTTTGGGGATTTGAAGCCTTGGTTCTAGAGGCTATGGCAAACCACCCAACCAGACCAAATTACTGGGCTCCACACCGCCGAATACAGGGAAGCTGAACATGGATTCCAGGGTTGTGGGATCAAGAGGTTTGTCCCCGCTTCTGTGATACAAGAGAATCTCCCCCGTTACTTGCCGGTGTTGGTTTTTGGGAAGCCCTTTTCGTTGCATCACAGAAGTCTTCCATTTGGTTAAGAATATTATGTTTTCATTTCCCCTGTTGGCTTTAAAGGGAATCTATCGCTACTGGAAATAGTTTCATGTTTTTCGGGACGAAAACGCAAATGCAGGAAGTGGATTCCATTGAAACCACAGCCCTGACTTGCCCAGAATTAGCTCCTTTTTTGATTTTTTGCTTTTTTCAGGTCCCTGTGTTTTCCACTAACCAGCCCCAACAAAAAGACTCATTTTTTCTGCTGGGGTCCTAATTCCAGCCAAGACCACAGCCCTGACAGATCCCCAGTTTCAATTTGGAGGACCGGCTCCAGCAGCTCATCGCCCAGCTGCCAGAGGAGGACCCACTAGACACCCCGAAGGCCACTGTCCTCGAAGGGGTGGAAGAGTGCCATGAATGGATCCCAGTCGGTCAATCTGAGTGTGTTTTTTGAGGGGAACATAGGGGAACTGGAAATTGGTGGTTTCCTGTGAGTGCGTCTTTTGAGCGGGGAACTGGAAATGGGCGGTTTCCTGTTGGTGCCCCTTCCTACCCAAAACAGGGCTTTCCCTAAAACAAAGACACACGCCAATAAACCTTCGCTGATTAGTTTGGGGTGTTTATGGAAGAGAGGATCCGGCTCACTTTTGGGGGGTTCAAGTCGCCATCTCGATTCAAAGCCAAGGCAAAATTGCCCCAAAGTCTGTGCTTGGCAGATATGAGAAGCATGGGTGAAACTCACGGGAGATCAACCTCTAGATATGAATATGCAGTTTCACAACCATAGCCAGTGGATCCCAGTCAGATAATCAACCATTTTCCTGTTGATTTTTAAAGGGTGGTTCGGTTGGTTACCCGCTACACAAGAACCATTGAGTCGCTGGGGTGCTGCCAAGCAGGTGAAAGATCCTTTTTGTTTTTTTGGGCGCCAGCCCCTTTCTACGGCTCTGACTCAAATCAGTAAGGCCCGAGATTTCATGCCATGACCATGGCGGACGTTTTGACTAGCGCAACTGCATGGGGGGTTCCCTTGGCATTTCTTCGTGTACCAAAAGTGTTATGCCGCCATACTTGAAGCACACCTTGTGTCTGTTTTTGACTTCAGTGTTTGTTCGTCTATGTTTCTGGTCTTGCTTGCTTGCTTGTAGGCAGGCAGGCTGGCTGGCTTGCTGGATTGCTGGATTGCTCGGTTGCTTTCTTGGTTGCTTGCTTGGTTGGTTGGCTGGGTGGGTGGTTCATTGAAGTGTGTGTGTGTGTGGGTGGTTGTTGTTGTTGTTGTTGTTGTTGTTGTTGTTGTTGTTGTTGTTGTTGTTGTTGTTGTTGTTGTTGTTGTTGTTGTTGTTGCTGTTGCTGTTGCTGTTGCTGTTGCTGTTGCTGTTGCTGGTGTTGGTGTTGGTGTTGGTGTTGGTGTTGGTGTTGGTGTTGGTGTTGGTGTTGGTTGGTGTTGGTGTTGGTGTTGGTGTTGGTGTTGGTGTTGGTGTTGTTGTTGTTGTTGTTGTTGTTGTTGTTGTTGTTGTTGTTGTTGTTGTTGTTGTTGTTGTTGTTGTTGTTGTTGTTGTTGTTGTTGTTGTTGTTGTTGTTGTTGTTGTTGTTTGTTGTTGTTGTTGTTGTTGTTGTTGTTGTTGTTGTTGTTGTTGTTGTTGTTGTTGTTGTTGTTGTTGTTGTTGTTGTTGTTGTTGTTGTTGTTGTTGTTGTTGTTGTTGTTGTTGTTGTTGTTGTTGTTGTTGTTGTTGTTGTTGTTGTTGTTGTTGTTGTTGTTGTTGTTGTTGTTGTTGTTGTTGTTGTTGTTGTTGTTGTTGTTGTTGTTGTTGTTGTTGTTGTTGTTGTTGTTGTTGTTGTTGTTGTTGTTGTTGTTGTTGTTGTTGTTGTTGTTGTTGTTGTTGTTGTTGTTGTTGTTGTTGTTGTTGTTGTTGTTGTTGTTGTTGTTGTTGTTGTTGTTGTTGTTGTTGTTGTTGTTGTTGTTGTTGTTGTTGTTGTTGTTGTTGTTGTTGTTGTTGTTGTTGTTGTTGTTGTTGTTGTTGTTGTTGTTGTTGTTGTTGTTGTTGTTGTTGTTGTTGTTGTTGTTGTTGTTGTTGTTGTTGTTGTTGTTGTTGTTGTTGTTGTTGTTGTTGTTGTTGTTGTTGTTGTTGTTGTTGTTGTTGTTGTTGTTGTTGTTGTTGTTGTTTGTTGTTGTTGTTGTTGTTGTTGTTGTTGTTGTTGTTGTTGTTGTTGTTGTTGTTGTTGTTGTTGTTGTTGTTGTTGTTGTTGTTGTTGTTGTTGTTGTTGTTGTTGTTGTTGTTGTTGTTGTTGTTGTTGTTGTTGTTGTTGTTGTTGTTGTTGTTGTTGTTGTTGTTGTTGTTGTTGTTGTTGTTGTTGTTGTTGTTGTTGTTGTTGTTGTTGTTGTTGTTGTTGTTGTTGTTGTTGTTGTTGTTGTTGTTGTTGTTGTTGTTGTTGTTGTTGTTGTTGTTGTTGTTGTTGTTGTTGTTGTTGTTGTTGTTGTTGTTGTTGTTGTTGTTGTTGTTGTTGTTGTTGTTGTTGTTGTTGTTGTTGTTGTTGTTGTTGTTGTTGTTGTTGTTGTTGTTGTTGTTTAATATTCGAAGATGCTTTCCAAATGCAGGCGACATACCGAATCGCACGATGTTTTTTGTTGACTCCCGCCATGTGTTGCCACCGTGGACTGCAACTGGTTGGGCACTGGTCTGCTGAATTCCTTGCTACAATGTCAGCCCCTTTGCTTCAATTTGCTCAAGGTATTTTGTATTTTGCCATGTTGGTTTTATTAGGAACCTACCACTGCTGGACATATGTCTGTTCTGTTTGCAGGAGACTTAAGCAAATGGAGGTTTATATTGAGCAGTTGCCTGTTGCACGTCAATGAGTGTCAGCCTCTCGATCCCCCCAATGTTTGATGCTTTCGTTTACTTGTATTCGTTTGTGTGTGTTGGTTGGGTTGGGGTTTTGCGTGTCGGTGTTTGGTTGTGATGTTTTTTGGTGTTTCAGGAGTTCGGGTTCATGTGGCCGCGCTTTTTTGATTTTTATTCAGGAGTGTTGTTTGGATGGCATGTTTAGGGAGATGCCACTGGGTGTCAGTAGTTCTCTCTGGCCATGGCACCCCGAAAGGCAGAAACAGTTGCAGGAAGCGCTTCTTGTTTCTACTTCTTTTTCCACATGGAAGATCATGGAACTCCCAAAAAGATCTTTCTTAGAGGCATCTCTTTTTGGGAAAACTTTCCTCAAAGCAGGGTCTTTCCTTGGGACCAGTCTTTAAATTGATGCTTCGCCTGCCGAGTTTCTCTCGCTCGAAAGAATCATGCTTCTGTAGGTTCCCATTCGAAACAAGGAATCCAGGTCTCTGAGCACTGAGTGCGCGACCTTTAGACCTTTAGGGAGTTTGGGGGTGGCCAAATAGAGAAGCACAGCAACAACTTGTGTGGGTGTGTCTGTTGGCATTCCATTCAGGGCAAGCCGGAGAAGCCGCTGGAAGAGACGCCGCTGCGACTCTGCTGCAGCGTGCAGGGCGACCCTTTGGGAGTGTGTTTGTTTGAGGCTCGGTGCAAATCTTGGGTGGCTTTAAAGGGAAGCCAAAGGCAAAGCAATTAACATGTTGTGTTTGTTTTGATTTCTTTTGGGGGGGGGAGGAGGGGTCCCCTCATTTTAACACACACCCTATGGCGAAATGATGCGACATGACAAGGCACCGCTACTTGTACAATGGACGTGTCGAACTAGGAGGATGCGGCTTGGTTTATGCTGGGCACCATGATTGACACACTGTGTTTCTTCGCCATGTTTCCTTCAATGGGGACTTCTAGAAAGATCGGCTGGCGCCACGACATTGTCAATTTTGCCCACTTGGTTGAAAAGAGAGAGAGGCATGCCTGTTTGATTGTGTAGTGATACTTAGGCGGACGGGTGTATCACATGGAAAGCCCATCATTTCAGGGGTTCTCCATCCGATGCCCCATCCTGTCATATCCTGTCTCTTCTCTGGTTGGTAAGGCCCAAACAAGGGAAGTGGTTTTGGCCATTGCACTCAGCAAAGTTTGTTTGACGAGCTCAAGGAAAGAACACGAGAAGCTCCTGAAAGAGTCGCTGAAGGCTTCGGAACACTCCGAGCTGAAAGGCGGGCTGCAGGACGGAAGCCGCACAGCGCCAGGCGGAAGCCAAAAATGGCTCTCCGATTCGTTTCCCTCCACATACTTCCAACCACAAAATGGGTTTCCAAAGAAACACACGTCGACCTACTTATTTGGGGTCACCAGAGGTGGTCAGAGTTGACCCAGCCATCACAAGGATCCCGATGAAGGAAGCCATGATCCACATAGGGAATCTGCACCAAGGCACAAATGCCCATGTCTCAAAATAGGGGCCATCTCTCTTCTTGGCTTTTTTGGGAACCAGGGAAGAGAAAACTATACCCTCATATTTGGGCGTCTTTTTAGAGGGCCCCCCCAAAATGGTTCCCTTTGATGTCTCTTTAAACGGGAGCCAAACAAATTGCAACGAGGAAGCCGGATGGGAGGTCCGCAATAGGATGTGTGTCAATTTGAGGAACACTACAAAGCTCGGGACGCCAAAGAACACCCGATCCCTGATGGTTTGGGAGTAGCGAGCCTTTGTGAGGTGAAGGAAGGCCAAGTCAAGCCACATCAAGCCAAGTTCTGGCAGAAGGGTCTTAAGATCAAGGAAGGCCAAGGCCAAATTAAAGAAAGGCGCTAGAAATTGCCAAGTTGGCCAAACGGCAATGGCCTCAAAGGGGTTCCAAGTGAGGAGTGATGGGGTCCTCGTCCAACACGCACCGCAGGATCCAGTGAAAGGTGCGCAGGACCTGCGGAACGGCGGTTGGGCGGGGTTCATGGCTGATGTATCCCGTTGAGGCTGGGTGAAATTCTTGTTGACCCCGGATCCAAGTCGAACCCTCCTACTGGGGGAGGGGCTTCTGGGTTTGGTGGGGGTTCCGACAACTTTTGAAGAGGAACACACCTATTAGTAGCCATGGATTGTTCACGGGAACCCGAAATGCAAGGTCTTTTACTCACCTGCTATTTGGGGCGTGGCAAACTTATCTTAATCCAACACCGTTCATTGAGCAGCCAAAAAAATATTCCAATTGTTCAATTTCCATCCAACAACCTCCCAAATTCGGAAAAAGCCAGCTCACCTATGAACGTCCCTGTCAGGTCATGAATCCGAGCTCAACAAGAACATGGAAGCCAACAAAACCCGCCGTTTTCGGAGGCACCTTCTTTCAGGGCCTTCTTGCTTCCTTGGCGTCCAGGATTCATTGCTTGGAGTAGAAGAATTGCCAGCATGCAGCATGCCGGTTCAAGTTTTTGCCTTTTTGCTTTTTCAAACCAACGTCTCTTTGGTTGGTTTCCTTGCGATTCCAAGACTTCGCCGGGCCGCAGGACCCACTGAGAGCTGAAGCGATCCCTCTGATGAGCTGCTGATTCAGCGAGAGCCATCGGCGAGCGACTTGTCAACTTTTGGTGGATGTCATGGACCCCCCAGAACTAGATCCCCCAGTAGTGCCCTTTTTACCTTTTTTAGGGTTCGCCTACTAAAATAGACTACAGAAAAAAAACAAGTTTGTACCAACTTATTCTAACCTCTCTACTGAAGGACTTAGAGAAAGTAAGCCCAAAGAACGAAGCAGAATCCGAGGTTGGACTTGCCTGTCGTCCAAGCAAAGGCATACCCGCAGTTGCTTTTCGTCGGGGAACCTTATGCATTGGGTTGGGACCCACTGTGGAATCAACCCGACAGAACCAGGCCCCCGTTCTTTTTCTACCGGGGTCACTGGACAAGCTCGAATCGTGTGACCTTGTCCGGAACCAATAAGAAGCATCAAGTTCCCACGGTCATGGCTTGTTTAATGGCTCCACTTGTCGGCCTGGATCAGCATTGGACTTGCGCAGCTTTCCTCTCGCGCTTCACAGGAGCGGAGGGGGCATTTATTGCTGCACAAATCACGACTCACCGGTCCTGGGGGGCAAAACGACCCAACAGTTTTCCCGCTGGACAAATATCATCTTCAGGTACAGAGCTGTCAACTTCGGCTGTATCCGGATGATCGTACTACACAGGGAAACAACTCCTGATGTTATTGGAGGTGGAGACTAAAATTGCCGCCGGGAATGGTACAGGGTTCCATCATTGTCCCCAAGTCGTTGTTCCTGTTCAGGTGCCACTGACACCATTTGTTTCTTCTTTCCTGCGTATTTACTGTCAAGAATGGCCAGGCAAAACTGAGGCCTTTTATTTAATCTTGCCACTGTCCGGTTGTTGGGCTTTGAACTTTTTGAGAATCTATTTCCAGCAGCAAACGGCAAGTCGAGCGATTTCTTTCGACCACTCTGAGGACCAGGAATTGTGTTGGCTGCCCCAAACAGGCACTGGTCTTTGAAGACACTCTTTGTCGTTGAGGAAGAGGTCTTCCATGCTAGCCAACATCAGGTCATCCCCATGGAGAAGGCGTGTGTAAGGGGCACATTTTTTTGTTTTTTTAATGTCGGGAAGAAGAACAAACATGACATCATATTTCTTTAGCTGAGGATTTGGGTGAGTTGCGCTCCCCGCCATTCACCGACTTGCAGCCCTTCGGGGATCCCTCGCAATGCTTGGCATTGTGTGACGCAGCTTGTCAGGCCTCCAGTGGTGCATTGTTCCCCCCTTTGGCTTGTTTGTCTCTTTTTTTCTGCTGGTTTTTCCCTTAACTGTGCATGCACATCCAATTCGGAAAGCCAAAAGCCAGGCTGGTCGTCTTTCACTGGAGGTGCTGTACTCCCATACGCCAGGACGAAAGAGCTTTGGCGTGCGGCGCGAAATCGCGCCGTGGCAGTTCCGCAAAGCTGTCCGCAGGTCTGCTTTGGAGCGCGCTTCCGTCGCGAGTGATTGTTTGCTTCGTTTTTTGACCATCTTATGAACTTGGCTGCGGGCTCTACCGTTGCAAACATGTCCAGATCATGGCTGCGCTTTGGTGTTTGTTCAGGATAGCCCCTTAGAGCGTTTGGAAACTGAGGGTTCGCCCATTTGAACCTCCAACGCTTTGATCGGTTGCTCCGGAAGAAAGAGACATGAACTGGGTTAAACATTTTCTATGTGCTCATTGAAAAAACAACTGTGCTGAAAAACAAACTGACCCTTGGTCCCCCAAAGAGTGAGCAAAGGAGGTGGTTTGAACAAAGGTGTTCTGCACATGACATGGTTAGCCCGACCCTGGGCTAAGGTGGGCCCAAGAAAAGCGCATCCTCGCTTTTTTCGGGGACTACTCTCCGACCGGCTATTGGGCGAGGCCCGAGCAAGAACAGCGAAACCGGCCCGGTGAGGTTAGATTGAGCTTGGTGCAGCTGAGACATTTACAGTTGTTTAAACATATAGTAGGCACAGCACCACTTCATGGCTCCAAGAAACTTTAGCCTTTTGTTTGGGGGTCAAGGGCCCTTTCTGAGCAACTGTTTCACGCTGACTCCACACGAGGGCCTCGACCTTTGGGCCTTGAGGTTTGACCTCGAGGCATACCGTAGGGACGTGGAAAGGCCAGTCCTAAGTTGCTGGAACCAAGATGCCTTTCCGAAGCAGAACCTGCCATGGTTGTCGTTGGGGAGCCACTGGCACACTGGCACATTTCAGCCACTCGACCTTCCATTTCGTGGGAACTGCGCATCTGACATTATCTTCCTGTATGTTGGGGGCGGGGCAGAAAGGACCACTTGTTTTTGTCCAGTTGGGAGTGGGATGCAATTGCCATACCCAGGTTCTCACCACAGCCCTAGGATTTTCTGCGACTCGGACTCGGCCTGTCCACATGTCAACATATTCAAGTAAGGGACAGCTTGGAAGGCAGGGGGAAGGCTTGGAAAGGGTTGCAAATGACTGGGTGCAAAATATGTTGTTCTATTTGCGCAACAGTAAGCCAACATGAGAGATTCAAGTTGTTTTTGTGCCGTGCCTATTGCCAGAGTTCGCCAATCTGCCTTCAGCCCATTCCCAGCCTCTGAGCTGAGCGAGCCTCAGAATGGACGCGCAGCTAATGCCGACGCATCGCGGAACAAGGACGTGCTGACTTGCCGCAGTTGAAGCAAGCCTTTCAAAAACCACAATGTTCAGAAGTCTCAGAAACATCGCAAAAAAAACAAAACAAAAAGAACTACTCTAATCTCCCATAACCACGGAAAGCAGCCAGTTTCAGGTTACCCTCCCCAATTCGCATCTTGCGTTGGTTTGAATTTGGGTGCTAGAAGCCCTGCTTCTAGCCAATCCAACCCACCGGTGAGTGGGACGCCAGTTGGATTTGGATTTGGGACAAGTTTTCCTGTTGAACTTTGGGAACTTGGGGTGTTTGTGTTCTTAAGGCCTCAAACCTCATCAATCCAAAGCAACCCACCTGTGAGTGCTGACAGTTGGCTGAAGGCCTCGAGGGCGTGGACACCCTCCTGCGCTTGGCCGGGGGTCCCAGAACGGTTTCTGCCACCAACTGTGGCTGTATGTGTGTATCAATGTTGGTAATTATATCCTATGGATGCTGAACAGCTCAAAAGGTAGGTTTCGGGGGGGGGGGGGGGGTGTCCACAAGCATGTGCGCATTATATAGATACAGTTATTTATATATGTATATGTATATGTAAATAAAAAACGATGCACGGGTAACTTTATGTTTTGTTTGCTTTAATGGCCGAATGGCAACTTTTAAGGAGCTTGTTTTTGGGCTTAGGGGTGGCTTCCCTTTGACATCCTTTTTTGTGGGCAGCCGCAACGGGGTGCACTATCTTGTTTCTGTTGGGTACGGTTGTACGGTAGTACGCATGTAGGTCTGGTACGCATGTAGGTCTGCTGGTTGCTCCTGTTTGTTTTATAATTGGCCAACCACAGAGTTTGCTTCTTGCTGACCTGCAAGGTGGTGCGTGGTGGGTGGTGGGTGGTAGGGGTGGCGGTGGTGGGTGGCTGGTGGCTGGTGGCGGTTGTGTGCTGCCCAGCCGTATTCCCCTGACAAGCTGGGGTGTGTCTCTGTGATAGGTGGGGTAGTGGGCCTTTTGGTAGGCCGGAAGAAGGGGGATCCGTTCAAAAGCGTCGGACGCATCCCATGATACTCAGAGGCTCACTTGCCCAAAGCCGAAGCGAATCGACCTTTTGACCTTTTGGTTATCCCATGTTGGTCCATTTTTAGTAAAGGTCCCAAAAGGTTAACCTTGTATGTCCAGGTCTTTTGGGCAAGTGAGGAGAAGAAACACGGTCACAGTAGCCAGAGACAGTCAAGCCACAATGCTTATGCGTGGCACTTTGTGGCAGCACTGGGCAAGATGATTCAGATGAACCGCAGCTGAACTAGTGTTCTCAAAGGCTTAGTGGTCGGGGGACGACGCAAGAGTCAATTTTGCAAATCGCATTCCAAACTTTCAAAGACAATTTGATGTTTGTTCTTGTCTCACTTCCTGATTTTTTGGACTTGTACATTTGTTTGAGAAGACTATTTCAGGGGTAAACAAAAGCTTTTTGACTTGTTCTGGTCAATTCACTCGATCGGAAGTCACACTGCGTCTTGTAAAGCGAATCAGTGGGTTTCCCACAGCTTAAGGACTGTGATTGGGGTCCTCACGAACAGCGAGCCCCTCACTGAAAATTCTGACAAAACACGGCAGAGTTGCAGGTTGCAACCACTGAGGCTGGAAGGGAGAGCTGGAAGAGTCGCACGCTGTTCAAGATTTGGCCATAAATTTCAGTGGGGGAACCACCTCAAAAGTGGTGGACATGAATCCCCGCCAAATTTTGATGTCCACCAAAGGGTCACTTAAAGTGCATGCTCATTCAAACACATCACCACCTTGGCCATTGGGACATATAAGCACCCTGTGGAATTATTTGCTCGGTTCGAAAGGCAGCCCCCTGCACAGATGATTCATTCTCCTAGCGCGAGTCCTTAATCTTGGGCGCCAAGATCTTCGTTAACAAAAATAAGAATACAAAAAATAAACAACAACACAATCCACAAGACTAAAAGAACCAACAGGGGATGGATAATGTCTTGTTCTTCCAGCTTTTGAAGCAAAGTCTGAATACATTGGTCCAGATGGAGGGCGAAAGGGACGATGAAGGCCCTGAATGCTTGGAGCTGTTGGTGCTTTCCGGCATCGGGCTCCGGGCTGTGGCTTGCTTCCTTGTTGTTTCGATTTCCTGAAAAAAACCACAAAGTGGAGTGTTTTCACCGGCAAAAGCAGCTCGTGGGTTTTCTTGGGCTCTCGAGGTGAATCACTACAAATGTGTGCCATGTCCCTCGGACCTCGGCCTGACAGTCTGCGCCAGCATGCGTCAGGCTGTCCAAAGATTACCCACGCAACCCGAGTTGGCCAGAAGAAATGTTGGCGAGAAGAAATGTCCACTGGCTTGGCACCTCTTGATGTTTGGAAAGACTTGCGAGCTATGATTTCTGAATATGAGAGTTTTCACAAACCCCAAAAGTGATTGGTGTCCTTGTCTTCGTTTTTGGTTCAACACCTTCCTCCGACGGTTGGCAAGGTCGTTGGCCGGTTTAGCCCTGGGTGCAAAGGTTGATCAGAGAAACCCGCCGGGAATTCCTACGGCAAGGGTTTGCTTCCACAAGGTTTCGGAAGGCTTCGTTCCGGGCACAGTTTACTCCATGGCTCAAAACTAAAATATCCAACTCTTGTCCAAACGACTGCTGGTCACTTAGAATGCACATACTACCCATGTTGTTTGTTGTGTCTGTGTGTTTGCGTGCTTGCTTGCTTGCTTGCTTGTTGGTTGGTTGGTTGGTTGATTGGTTTGTTTTGGTTTGTTCTGTTTTGTTTACAAGTTATATGATATGATCGTTTTGTGAATTGGTTGCTTGATTTCTTCGTATATTTGTCAAGTTTTGTGTGTTTGATTGTTCTTTGTGCGTGTTGGTTTGTGTGTGTGTGTGTGCGCGTGTTTATTGTCTGGTCTTGTCCTGCCTTGCCTTGCTTTGCTTTGCCGAGCTCTGTGTGGTGTTGTTGTGTGTTGTGCTGTTTTGTGTAATCGTTCGTGTGCGCGTGTGTGTGTGTCCTTGCTTGCCTGCCTGACTTGCTTGGTGGCTTGCTTGCTTTGCTGTACTTTGCTTTGCTTTGATATGATATGCTTTGCTTGCTTTGCGTTCCTTGCTTGCTTTGCGCTCCTTGCTTGCTTTTGCTTTGCTTTTGCTTTTGCTTTTGCTTTTGCTTTGCTTTTGCTTTTGCTTTTGCTTTTGCCTTGCTTTGCTTTTGCTTCGCTTCGCTTCGCTTTCTTACTTGCTTGCTTGCTGGCTGGCTGGCTGGCTTGCTTGCTTTTTGTGTTTGTGTGTTTGTTGGTTATGAACAACTGTGCCATGTGAAAGTTCCATCCCGCATGCGCTCTCGGTTGCCCTGGCAGGTCTCTGAGGTGAATACCTCCCTATGGCTGGGCCCATGGACGGATACGCAGGCACGCGAAACGCCGATTTCCCCCCAGCTGGGAAGCCATGCGGATGAACCCGGGATCTTGGTCAGAGGAGGCGGGCCCTTAAAATAAAATAATTTCGGTACTAACCGGGCAACCACCCCTGACTAGTGTGGTCCTGTGGATGAATCCGAAGTCAACACTATATGTCGAAGCTCCGAAGCTTCAGGAAACCAAATTGCAAGGACAAAGATTCGAGCGGCTTCTTTGGGCTCTTCAGGCACCGTTTCTCCGGAACACTTTTTGCCAGGAATTCCATTCCAG